AGAGATACATAAATAGATAGAGACAGACAGATGTTTACAAAGATAGAAAGACAGACAGACAGACAGACATTTAGAATGATAGACAGAACAACAGAGACAGACGTTTAGAATGATAGAATGACAGACAGACGATAGACAGATAGATAGATAGACAGACAGACAGAAAGACATTTAGAATGATAGACAGAACAACAGAGACAGACGTTTAGAATGATAGAACAACAGACAGACAGACATTTAGAATGATAGACAGAACAACAGAGAGACAGACAGACGTTTAGAATGATAGAACAACAGACAGATAGACAGACAGACAAACATTTAGAATGATAGACAGAACAACAGAGAGACAGACAGACGTTTAGAATGATAGAATGACAGACAGACAGACAGACATTTAGAATGATAGACAGAACAACAGAGACAGACGTTTAGAATGATAGAATGACAGACGATAGACCGATAGATAGACAGACAGACAGACATTTAGAATGATAGACAGAACAACAGAGACAGACAGACGTTTAGAATGATAGAATGACAGACAGACAGACAGACGATAGACAGATAGATAGACAGACAGACATTTAGAATGATAGACAGAACAACAGAGACAGACGTTTAGAATGATAGAATGACAGACAGATGATAGACAGATAGATAGATAGACAGACAGACATTTAGAATGATAGAATGACAGACAGACAGACAGACAGACGATAGACAGATATAGACAGACAGACAGACATTTAGAATGATAGACAGAACAACAGAGACAGACATATGTTTAGAATGATAGAACAGACAGACACACATTTGCTGTACTGCCCCCTTCTGGTCAAATTTTGAACTACATTCTGTCTCTTTCACACAGGAGGGTCTTTAGGGAGTTTAACCTCTGAAAACCTATTAGTGAGTTTGAGCGTGTGCAGCAGATCTCCAGCTCTCTCACACTTTCACTCGGAACTCATGTCCAGCTCGTTTCATTTCTGTAGCAGCTCTGAAACGGCTTCATTAGAGACATGAAGTCAATTTCCCATGAGGCCTCTGCTCTCTCTCTGTGCCATCTGTGTTTGTTCTGCTGAGTTGTGAAGTTTGTGGAAGTGTGTAAGGTGGCTTTTCCTGAGTCAGCCGGACCCCGAAATGACCCGACCACTGTCTGCCCTCTCTCTCTCTCTCACACACACACACACACACACACACTTATAAATCAACATCAACAGCCTCAAACAAGCTCCATAATTCAAACTCACAGCATTTAACTTTTACTAATATCAAAACATTCTCAAATAGAGATCCAAACCAAACCATAAAATTGTATTTAATTTGAAAAAAGAATTCCTGTTTCTATGGTAACAGTATCTTTCAGTGGATCTCTCTTCAGGATTATGGATAGTGAAGCCATTCACTGGGAATTTAACAATTAGATCAGCAAAAATGTGAAACTACACAGACTTCTACGCATGCATAAGTGTGTCTTGCAATGTTTATACATGTCTATGACTAAAATGATTTGCTCCATATAGATAATGCATGTCACTGACTGAACCCTTGAGCTCCATAATGTTCTCATGCTTGAGGGATTCTGGGTAAAATCATTGTTCTGCTGTTATTGTGGCTATTTCAGGTCTTCTTCGTATAATCGGTGCCCTCGGCTTTTATCTTTCATCCTGTTTTTCATCTAATGCATCTGCTTGTCTTTTTGCCTTCAAATGCATATAAATTAGAATCAATTTCAACTTCAAAGTCTGTGGTTTCTCGTTGCTGGTGAGCTGCAGTTAGATATTTAAACATCAAACATCTCGCTGTGAGTCAGTGAAGCTCTCGCTCACATCACTGATACCTACAGATCTCACACTGAGCCGACTACAACAAAGAGCCTTTTCCCTTCTTTTTTCTTTGCTTTTCTCTTGCCAAAATGGAAGAATGGTAGAGTTTCATGCCCCAAATAATTAAGATCCCTCTGTCCACCGTGTCTATGGGTCAATCACACTTTACAGACTCCCCAGGAGCCAATCAGAGTGCACTGAGTTTCCATCAGCCAATTAACTTCTGCCCTCTCAAACACAGAGACAGTCATTATGGAAGCTGAACAGGCCTGAACTTTCAGTGAAACACACTGTTAGTGAGATCAGCAGTGGATGGCCAAAGACCGGGGAAAATATATATTTTATTATTCAACTGAATTCACTACACGTGGAAAGCAACATTTCACTTAAAAAAAAATAATTGTATTCATTTAATTCTAATTTTAAAATTATATATGTACACATCAACATTCTAACATTATTTCATAGTGAAAAATTTAAGGGGGTCTGAATACTTTCCGTACCCACTGTATATATATATATAATATTTAGAGAATATTGCAATTAATTTATTCTAATTAAAATTGAATTTGGAATATAAATAAATATGTAAAATATTTATATTTGGAAAAATGATAATAATAGAATTAAAATAATAGAAAATTATATATATTTCCCCC